CCTTTACAAATCATATATCTCCCTATTTTATGATTTGTTTGGTGTTAATAATCAAAGTTGTTGCTTCTTTCAAGGAAGTTTGTATGGTTTAAAAATACACAGGGGAGACACTTTATTGGAGAAAAGTAAGATTACTACTGTTCTACTGAATCTCGTGTTTTCCCATAGTCAAAACCCAATGGTAACTGTGGAAGCTTTTAATTCTATAGCTCTTAATCAATTGTGTGATTATAAAGATGTGGTCTTCAGGAGAATATCACTTGCAAAAGTCCATGTTTTCATTTCTTGTGCCTTAATTAAGGATTCCCTCAATACACGTTTACATTATTTTCATAAAAATTTTGTCATAAAGGAAAGTAGTCATGTTGGCTGGTAGTTGTTAAATATTTTCTCTAACTTTTTTCATTAGAAATACTGTCTACAATATTTTCTAAGCATTTGTTATCCTCTTATATTTTGAATGTCTTCAAAATTGATTCTCAATAGCCTAAAATTGTGTTGTACCTAACATGAACCTCATTTATATATACTTCTATTATGGATCCTTTCCCTGTCTTTGTTTTCTTCAGTGCTATTTCTACTTCTTGATGTAGAAAATTGAGTTTTGTGATATTAAAGTTCAAACATGTTGACTCCTGTGATAGAAGAATAATTTGGTGATTTTACAAATCTTTCCAAATTTTCATCTATTTTTTTCCTTCTTCCAGTTTCTTCCTTAAATGTCTTTAAGATGATTCAGCTTAATAAGGTATCCTGGTATGTTTTCTGTAAACTTGATCTTCCTTTCACCACTGTTTGCTATTTAATGATGATATAACATTCATAATCCTCCACTATCTTCCTCTGGAAGATTTCTGACCTTGACTTCCATGTCTTTATGCTTGGCAAGAGGATCAGGTATTTGCTGGCTGAGGTATCTTACTACTTCCCTTGGTTTCTTTGTTGTGAGGATTGATTTATATCCATTAAACTTCCTTGAGAAATGATGATAATCCATGTCAATATATGTACTTTTAACTGTTTACCATTTGAGGTCATCAACTGCTTACTAAGATGGTTCAGGTTGGAATTTCTTTAATTGCTTAATATCATCTCATTTTTATTTTTTAAAATTTGGCATTAATTTGATCTTTGCACTAATAAGATGATGGTCAAACTATATGCTGAATGCCTATATGAAAATACTTCCACATTATTAACCAGTCTTTTCCTGTTTTTATTTATTTATTTTTGGTTATTCAATTCTAAGTAGCATTACAAGATCATAAGTTTAGGTTGATAGGTACCTTAGTGGTCATCTAGTCTAGCTCTCTATTTGGCTTGGCCACCTTGACAAAAAAGTGATTTTAACTTAGGATCTCTGACTTTGAATCCAGCTCACAATCATTTTTTTGCATGTGTGTGTGTGTGTGTATTTGAGATGTCAAATACCTGCCAACTCTCTTACAAGAAAAAAAAAGTATTCATAAAACAGAGGTATGAGGCTTCTATACAACCTAAAAATGTTTGGTGCATTTTGTTTTTTCTGAAACATATCTCCAAATTCATTTTTTACTGGTTTCTCCTGTGTCCAATTTGATATCAAAATCACTAGATATTAAAATATATGTTGACTTAAATTAGAGGGTTTTATTGAATTTTCATAGAATTTATCTACCTCATTATCTTCTGGAATGGATATTGGTGAAACGTTGTCATTATCTTCATATTCTTTTTGCAAATGCTTGTCATAAGTAGGGAAAGATGAAATAACTAAATATCCCTTGAAATGAGGCTTATTGTTCACTTTGCACATACAACAGAACCAACTTTGTCAGTGACTGAGGGTCATTTTGTATTTTTTTTTATTTGTTTCATGAGTATTCATGACTAAAAACTTCATCCCCTACAGGTAAGTCGGGCTGCTGGTGATGATCCTCCCTGTGCTTCACTAGTCTGGTTCTTAAAAAGTAAACATAGTTTGTTGCCAGGACAAAGAGAAGTTAAATCACTTTCTGAAGGTTACATGGGTCATAAGTAGCAGAACCTCTATTTTGAACCCAGGTCCTCATACCCAAAATCCATCAAAGCACTCTACCTCTTGAGCACAGTAAAAGAAATGAAACATTACCTAACCAGAGTGGCTGAAAAATGTGTGAACTATAAACATGAGAGAATTGTTTATATCAATATTGTAGCACAAAAGCAATAGGAAAACACTATCTGTTTGCCTGCCTAGTACCATATTAGTGAATGCAACTACTAATCAAAGAACGTCAACTTGAGCTTCATTGCCAGAAAAAAATAAAATTATGGCCCACACCATAACGTTCCTATGTTCTTGTACATAAGTGGAGTCGATGAATCAGCTGATGCTGAAGTCTGCTCTAACAAAAATGGAAGTCTTTTGGGTGGGAAGTGTGCATATTTTCCATACAGATTTGCAAAATCTCTCCAAAGGCCAGTTGTTTCCAGTTTAAGGAGAAATAGCATTGAAAATCATGACTATTGAAGTCATTCAGTTTTAAAGTAAAGGTTGACAAGGAATTTGTAATTTTAGAATTTCATAAAGGCACTGGAGGAACCACACTAAGCATGTTCACCAAAGTCCCTGACTTCATCTCATATGGCCCTAGGTGGCATAAGTGTGATAAGTAAGAAACAATATGCTACTTGGGGAAAACACAGACCTCAAGCAAATATAGTTTTTTCTTTCCCTTTGAATTTTGACAAGCTAAACAATATTACATATTATTGATGTATTTCTACCTTGGAGATCTCTGGATGATATAACTGTAATATTACTTTCTTGGACTTTCCTTTTTAAGCTATCCAGAAACCTGAAGAGGTGAAAAGTGCAAGGCAACAGGATATCTAATGGGCATGTCCCCCTTATGTCCCATGTCCTTCAGATGCAAATCAAACTGATTAAGTCCACAGTGGTTCTTGGTCCTGATTATTCTACTTCTCATCTCTTCATGTAGCTTCACAGCAGCAGTGCTCCTATTAATAAGCTTTCTGTTTTTGCCTCTAAGTGTTGCTATATTTTATGAAAATGAAAGACAAAGCTTATATAGATGAAAAACTACATTTGACCCAAAACTGAAACTATTTTTGCTTCCAAAAATAAGCTCATTTGGTCTGGGAAAATTCACAGTGTTGTTCTCTCTTCTATTTTCCATTACAGAAAAAAAATATTTTCATTGAAGACAAATAATTCTCTTGAGCAACTCAAGTTGCATTTGTGTGCATTTATGTTCTGTGATTGGAGAGGTAAATAAGCTCAAATAGTGTTTCCTATTCACATATGAACAGATAATGGCTAAAACTAACTTTCAAAGGTATTCATTTTTTCATTCTCTCTCAAATAGGGCAGGTATGGGTAAAATTAAATTTGCATTTTATCTCTAACCTATTTAGAAGAGCCTGAGTGTCCCTTTTTAATCTTATAGACTGATACCACTGTGGCTTCCTAGAATAGAAAGGAATCGTCTTTCTTTTTGATAGTCTCCCAAATGCTCTGATGTAAAAGTTGAGGTCCCAGCTATGCTTTTGTTATCTCCTCTTCACCCTGCCCTCCTGCAAAAATGTTACACTTAATTTTAGTCACATAAAAAGAAAAGTTGTGAATGGAGAAGTGGAAATCACTTCACCCATGCTGAGAAAAGGCAGAGAAGGAGAGTATCAAATTTATCTCCCATGCATTTTGTCAGTTAAGAAATACTTATTGAAAGCTTACCAGTATGCTAGACACTAGTGTAACTTCATGAAAAGAATACCCTGACACATCAATTTCTTTTAATTTACATCATAATTATGTCATATTCACGGACTTGGATGAGAGTCACACAGTGTGGGCAGACATTATTTGAAGGTGGAGGGAGTACCCAGACCAAGGAATCCTGGATCATTCTAAGTCTTCTGAATGTAGATGTTTCATGACTATATTCCATACTAAAAAATCTGGTGTGATCTATGGCTATGATCCTTGCCCCACTATTTCTGATCAGTCACCAAGCTATGTTCATCCTTCGTGATCTCTTCTATCCACTTCTCCTCCCTGACGCCTCTCTAATTCAGTCCTTTATTACCAGATGCTCATGTTTCTCCACCTTCAATGATACCCCATGTCCCAGGGAGTAATATCCAAATAACCTGGCATTCAAGCACTTCCACAATCTGGTCCCAATTTCCCATTCCATACCTTTCCTTCTACCTACATAGCTGATTGCTTTGATTCAAACTATTCTATTCATTGCTCTTTCTAATGGTCTTGAACATTCCTGCTTTGTTGACTTTGTGTATGACATTCCCTTGGACTAGGGTAGTCTCCTCACTTCTCTTACGGTGCTAAATCCCACCCATCACTTTAAGGGCTCAGTTCATATTTCACTTATTCCAAGAAGGTTTATATGAGCAGTTGAACCTGAAGGACTCTTAATTAGGGACTTCTATAGTACTTACCAACTGTTACATTCACCTGACATTAATTTTATATTGCATTTTACCATTAGTTACTTTTGATGCTATTAGCTTCTTAAGGATAAAGATTATCTTATATGTCTGTATTCCCCACTGATTCTAGGATAGCATTTTGAATAAAGTAGTATTTGATAAATGATAACAATATGCTTTAAGGTTTGCAAAGCCTTTTACATATACTCTTTCATTATATCCTTATAACAACTCTGAGAGGTAGCTGCTATTAATATCCTCATTTTGCAGGTGAGAAAACTGAGGCTAAGAAGGGTTAAGGGACTTGTTCAGGGCCACACAGATAAAAAGTGCCTGAGCCTAAATTTGAACTTAAGGCATCCTAACTCTAAGCTTAGCACTTTACTCACCATCCCACCTAGGTGTCACTGGGCTGGTCTTTCAAATTCTCTGTTGTAAAGGTTGTAGTTCTAGCTATGCTATTGCTTTATTGAATTGATTACCTGAATGAAGAATTTATTTTTGACTGATTTTAGGTAATATTCCTATACAGTGAAAAAAATTGCAAGAGAAATATGGAAACCGACCTCCCTCTGCTGAACAGATGACTACAATATTGCTGAAAGGTCCATCCCCTTTGTTATTGTATACTCCAACTTTCACCTCAAAGGGAGTGAGTGGAGGTACACTTTCATCTCTGTAGATGAATTTTGAAGCATCTGATGAAGTGACCATTTTTTCTTTCCAACCACGGGTTCCATTGGGTCTAAATGCCACAATGTAGCCAAATCCTTCCCCATTCTGAAACTCTTCGGATACTGGCTGAAGAAGAAAAGTGCAATTAGTCATCAGAAATGTTAAATACTTTTAAACACTTGAGGTTTGCCATGAATTGCTTTAAATTAGTGGCTTTCTATAAAGAGAGAACCTAGCAGCTTGTAGCTCCCTGGGCACCCAGCACAATATAATGCATATATCACATAGTAATAAATATGTGTAAAATGAATGAGAAAAAAGAACTTTTGAATATAAGTAGCACATTGAAAATTATGATGGCATAATTGCTCCAAAGTGTTCTGCAAAATCAAAGGCTTTGAAAATAATATCTGAAAAATTCAAATTTAAAATAAATTTATTAATCCTATAAATACTAGACACTGGCCTGATAACACTTGGTTCTTCCTTTTTTTTCTTTTTAATTATCTAGTACTGACATCCCTTAAATTAAAATATTTTTTCTCCCAATTAGTTGTGTCATAAAATGAATATTGCCAAAGTCCCAAGTTCCAGTGGGCAAAATTAAATGGCCATTAAGTTGGGAAAAATCTGTTCTACTTGGTGGGTTTAGTGTGGTCACTTTCACAGCAATTTTAGAATTATATGTCAACATAATACCTTACAATCTATTCTTTCTAGTGTTGAGCTCTGCATGTTCTATGGAAATATGAAGAGAACTATATCATTGTATTTATCTTAAAACTTTTGTTTATATCCATGTCATATGTAAATGTGTTCCAATAGGGTTTTTCTATCTAAAATAAATAAATAAATGAAAATAGATGATTCAATAAGCCATAAAATTGAGATTTGGTTAAAAGTGACAGTCTGTGGTAGAAAAGAAGTTATAAAATACAGATGGCCTAGTTAATACATGATAGATACTTTCTATATGGAGAGATGAATTTTTATTGTGATTGGGAAAATGATGTTCACTTTTGAGTTCAGTTTCAATGGCATATATATACACTAATAATTGTTTATATGTTATCTTTATATTTTGGTAACAAAAATACTTCTCCATAAAAGTGACTGAATGAAGAGTAGGTATCTATTTGTTTCAAGGGGCACTTGAAGAGACACAGATTGCAGATTTTAACTATGAAAGGATGCATGCAGAGGAGTTAGGGTAGCAAGATCAATGAACACCAGACCACATAAACCAAGGATCTGGACAAACCTCTGAGAAGTTGTGTCCAGCTAGCTCCAAGTGATAGCATATCACAGTATTGGAGAACAGTCACCTGGGTAGCTGCTGCAAAAAAAATGAAAACTCATTCTGGGCATCATAATTGAGATGAAAGGTCCAAATTGCTGCATACCCTCATTTGAAGAGATGACATCTCAGGTACTTTGTACTTGGTGGGGAAAAAAAGTCTTCATCCTCTAAAAATTCTAGATAAAGTTGAAAGATGAAGAAACAAGTTTCCTTACCTCCCAGGCTATCACTAATTCATGCCTTCTTCCACTTCTGCCACTTACATTAGCAGGAGCTGTCTTTGGAACTATAAATAAAAAAGGATAGGTGTGGGAAGAAAGAATATTATGTTATTTAAACTTGTCTACAATAAAGATCCTGTGGTTCTGTTCACGTCGAGTCCAAATATCAACAACAATAATAAGATACATTTCTATTTCTGCTTTAAATGCTTTTAGGTTTACAATCTATCAGGGAACATTTATTAGGCACCCACTGTGTGCAGGCACTATGCTAGGTGTTAGGAAAAAGAGAAAGTTAGATGAGACTGTTCTCTGACCTCAAGAGCTTGCAATCCACTAAAGTTACAAGATAGCAACAGAAGTAACTCAGAGTGCTGTTAAAATAAGGACATTAGAAAATTACAAATTGCTATGAGGAAAGAAAATCATTAACAAGCTAGTAGTTTCCTGGAGGCTTCCTGAGAAAGACAAGTAAAAATTCTACAAATGAAGATGGTTATGAAGCCTCTTCCTCACAACTCTGACAGGTAAGTAGCAAGTATTATTATCTATATTTTAAAGAAATTAGGTTCAGAGAGGTTTGGTTTATTTTCTATAATTACACAGTAAATGTTTGAGCTGAAATTCAAGCTAAGGTCACCATTACGCTATTGCCTCTCAAATAGAAAATATACTTTTCTGAATTTACAGCAAATATAGTTGATATTACAGCATGTATAATATTTCTTTATAGCACTTTGCTAATGAGACAAAAGCCGTATTATAATCTTCACATGGACAAGTCTGCTTGAGTCTTTTCCTAAAGCTGACTTCATTCCTCAACCCACCTTCTTGCAAATGAATGACTACAGGAAGAATTGGATAAGAGAACACATGGCATGACACTAATCCATACCCAAAATTAAAAGGACAACTTACTCCTCAGTCCCCACCATCAGTAGGTTAACAATTTCAACTTCATGTATTAAGGACATCAAATATATATACTCTATACCCAAAGAGTAATGGAAAAACATGTGGCAGTTGTAAGAAGGCTATACAGTACACTTGCACTGATGACTCTGATGTATGAAATGGAGAAAAGGGCGTAATAAAGAGCCATCTATGATCTGAAAAGATGGTGAAGTGGTCATGCTGGAAGAGTTAAGGATAAAAGCTAGATAGTCTGAGTGTTGTCTTGACATCCTTGAAATATTAAAAGGTATAGAGAAGATTTCCAGTACATAGGCTAGATGCATTATAGAAAATTTATGGAAAAATATGGGTACAGATTACATAGAATGGATTGTAACCTGCCTCTATGGAGGAAGTACTCACACAGCTGAAATCACAGATCCATTGAAATGATAAAGGACATGTCATGCATAGATATAATGAACAAATATCTGGAATCCTTGTGCTTTTATGTTAGGTACTTCCATTGAACCATTCAATATATCAGTCTATGACTTTGGGAATATTTAGAGTTTAGTAACAGAAATTTATCAATGCTCTTTTGGAATGATGGAAAGAATCTTCTTTAGCATTTATTAGGACTTTGGCACTGTTAAAGAGGGAGGCATGGGAGAAATCTCCCTCTCCATTGCACAGTGAAAATGTGACCAATATTAAGTAGCTGATGTAATTTTAATGTAGGAAATCAGCATTTATTAAGAGCCCTCTATGTGCCAAGAACTGTGATTGTACTTTACAAGTAATATCTCATTTAATCATCATAACAACCCTGGAATATATGAACTATTATTGTCTCCATTGTACAGTTGAGGCAGACCAACATTAAATAACTCGCCCAGGGTCACAAAGCTAGGAAGTGTCTGAGGTTATATTTGAACTTCCTTATTTCAGGCCCAGTGCTCTGTCCAAGGTGCCACCTACATGCCTAATTTTAAGATAGATGGTATATAGCTTATAATTTTTTAAAGAATAAACATTTTCCAAATTATATTTTTGTAGAAATTCTTTTAAGATGTCCTATCGAGCATAAACTAGTAGAATATTTGGTTTTCTACCTAGCATGTTTGTTCTGTATTTTGTCTTGTGGTCTTCACTAAAGAAACAATTTAAGGCATATGTGTATATAAACACACATCTGCATTTGTATGTATATGTGTATACAGGCATATACATATATAACCGTGTATGTGTGTGTACGTGTATGTATTTACGTGTGTGTATGTGTGTGTGTATGTGTGTATCTGTGATTTTATCTGTGTAGAGAATACCAGGAGTAGCAATCCCTCTATAACTTTTAGTCTTAGAAATGTTGCCTAAGCAGTGGAAGGTAAATGATTTGTTAATAATTACAAAACTATATGTACCAAGGGCTAGACCAAAGGCTCAGATCTTTCTGCCATTAAGATTGGCCTCTGTAGCACCTGCTCCCTATGGAATATATCCCATGTGCAAACAAAAACCCAACTTGGTGAGATTGCATGACTGAAAAATCTATATGGAAGCTTTTAAATGGGTTTCCAGTGAAAAATTAAAATAGAATTCTGTTTAAAATACTTTTTTGTTGGCATTGCAATTCATTTAATTAACTCTAAATTATTCATGCTCAAAACATACCTTTCAGTAATAAATGTGTCATGGTAAAAGAGGGCTAATTTTTACAGTGTTGGAATTCATACCAACATTTCCCAAGGCATTTCCTTAAGTAAGAGTTTGTGCCTTGATTAGAACCTATAATAAATTAAAATCTTTTCACATTTTCTACAAATTTTACATTTTGCCCAGGGATTTAGGCCCATCATATATTTTTCTGTGTTATACTCTCTAATCAAGGTGTAATGCTTTACATAAGCAAATAATTACCCTTAAAATAGAAATGTAAATAGAAGCATAATTTCTAAATTTGTTACTTGTGCTTCCCTTATTTGGATGTTAAGTAGAGTCAGTCATTAGCAGTAAAACATATGAGGCACAATTTGATTTCTTTTACTTTCAGTGCTACCTATAATGAAAGTTTAGTCAAAATTATAGATTTTTTTTTTTTTGGAATATTATAGGAAGGAAAGGATTAAGTATCTGCTTAAATTTCTTAGGTTTCCTTATTCTTGCAAAATGAGTTGAAAATATGGAGGTGATTTTAATTCTTGTGTTATAGCATATTACTAACAATGGTAGGTAGGCAAGAAATGACCAAAAGAAAAAAAAAAGACATCAAGAATATGTAGGACCGGAAATCAAAATGGTTCGATTATGTATCAAGAGTATGGGAAAATAAATGGTTAGTACAAGTGCAACATGGATTTGCACAGAATTGGAATGGAAGCACAGAAAGGTTTCCTCTATGGCAATAAGCGGAGCTAATCTGTGGAAGCTATATTGAGACACAGATACATTGAGACACTGATGTTTAGTTTTGCTCAGTGTATTTCCCCTTCTTCCATCCCTGTTTCAGTCGTCATAGTCTTTTGTCTTTGCTCTCACAATCTAGTCTTCTCAGATATCTCCTCATTTCCCACCCCCCTCACTCATTTTGAACTTCTTTGGCTTCTCCAGCATCCTCCTCTCCCCCCACCCCTTCTGGGTATTTCCTCCTCAAATCCCCCTCCCCCTTCCTATTTCAGCTTTCTTTTTTGTGTTGTCTAGACTTAAACTTGGTGAGGGCAGGGACTGTCTTTCTTTTCCATATTTGTATTCCCAGTGTTTAGCATAATGCTAGGTACACAGAAAGTGCTTAAGAAATGCTTATTGAATATTGACTATTATTATCTCTCCCCTTGCCCCTTGCTTTCTTCTGGTTACTTGTGTGTCAGTGTGTGTGTGTGTGTGTGTGTGTGTGTGAGAGAGAGAGAGAGAGAGAGAGAGAGAGAGAGAGAGAGAGAGAGAGAGAGAGAGAGAGAGGAAAAAGGGAAGTAGGGAAGTCAGTTAGTCAGTAAGCCCTTATGAAACATTACTATATTCCAGGCTCTGTGGTAAGTGCCAGGGATACAAAGAAAGGCAAAAAAAATCACCAGTCCTTGCTCTCAAGGAATTCATAGGCTACATGGAAGGGAACTATAGAAATTACAGGAGAACTGGGGAGAGGGATTCAGTAATTGCAGATAATTGTGTGAAAGTGGCCTTTCTTACAGAGAAACTAAGATAGAAAAGCATTGATATAGACCACTATGTCTCACCTAATATTATCAGGGGATGTTTTTGCAGGCTTATTGCAGAGTTCTGAAAAATCAAAACAAAACAAAACAGCATCTGTTTCATGGTTATGATGTCAAAAAATGAATTTGGAGTTACATATTTTTAGGTGCTGAAGGGTATGGGACCATAAGAAAGGAGTCATCAAAGGATAACAATGTTATAGTTAAATAATTTAGATACTAAAAGATTAAATTCTATGTTAGAATAACATCACACTAGAAAAAGAACAATATGCTCATAAGCATGATTCTCTAGGTGGGCACAGAGGATAAAGTGTTGGACCAGGAGTCAAGGAATACTTCTCCTTCTGAGTTCAAATCTGTCTGTGTGACCCTGGGCAAGTCACTGAACCCTGTTTGCCACAATTTCCTCATCTGTAAAATGAGCTGGAGAAGGAAATGGCAAACCACTCCAGTATCTTTGCCAAGGAAACCCCAAAGGGGGTCACGAAGAGTTAGATATGACTAAAAAATGACTAAGCAAAACCAACAAATATAAACCGTATAAAAAGTTTAAATTGATTGACTTAGGTTGATGTATTTTTTCCCTTGTACAGGGCCACCTACATTTTTATATATGATCTGTCTCTATGCCTCTATATAAAAGCAATGTAGTCAAATGGAGTACTAACCTTGGAATCAAGAAAACCTAAATTCAAATTCTACTTCTGAATCTTAGTATTAATTTACTCTGGTGAGTCCCTTAACCGTTATGTGCCTTAAACACCTGTCGGGCACTTATCTGATAGAGTATAAGCTCTTTGAGGGCAGAAACTCTTTCAATTTTTTTTGTACCAGGCAGATGGTACTTAATAAATGCTTGTTGATTGATTGACCTATTAAATCACGGCCCTGTAGCCAATCCATGTTGGTTCCACACATGTACAAAATCACTCATTCATATCTGTATATCTGAATGGTCA